GCACCCCTCTCCCCTTCTCGCACCCCAGGCGTGCGCCGACCCCATGCCCAGGGGAGCGGGCTGGAGAAGGTGGGGTGGGTGGCCGGTTTTGGGGGGGTTTCTGCCGCACGGCACAGCGCGGCGCTGACCTCCGTCCGGGATGTGTGTGACGTGTATTGTGCCGACACACCGGTTTGAAACGGGGGGGAAACCCTAAAAAGACAGTAGAGGGGTATAAGGAGGGCAGCTTGATTCAGATGGGGGGGGGGGGGGGGTTGTTTTTTGTGGGGAAGTGTTGTATTTTGCTGGAAAAAAAGAAGAAAAAAGTGGTTTTGACAGCTAGGTAGCCCCGTCACCCGATTTCTGCATCCCGTGTCTGTCGTAGCGTTCACGTGTTTCGTGTCTGCCGTCCTAATCTCGGCTCCTTCGGGGCAAGGATTGTGGCTTCCGCTGTTCGGATTGTGTCTAGGGTGTTTGGAGCGCGGTCGCCGCTCAAACGATAGTACGTTCCCGGGAGAAGGAGGATCCATAAAAGAGATCCGCAGAGGTGAAGAATAGTTTAATATTCTGCTTAACGCTCCAGACCTATTTGAAACCTGGTGTCTCTGCGCGTCCTTTTTCCCCCTAGAGTGTTTGGGTGAAATTTAGTCAAGATACCAAGACCATAAAGGGTCAAATGTGTTGTTTAAAGGGGAGGGGGGGAGAGATTCACCTGCGACTGGAAGGATGAATAACACTCATACAAGTCTTTTTGTTCTTGATAAGACTATATGCAATTTCATATCTTGTTGCCCTTGGCATAGCTGCCGTTGTAATGGTCAAAGACGGATTTAATTGACTCACCGGACAATAAATGTCAACTTTACTCTCTCCTTTGCTGGCTTGATTGCAAATCCTCCCATGCCATCCGGTAACTCGCTTGTATTTTGGTTTTATTTGCTCTCTCTCTCTCAGGCTTCAGTTCAGCAATGCTCTGAAGCATATGCTAACTTTTAAGCTGAATACTGAATGCAGCCGGACTTAAGTATGTGCAGAAGTCAATGGCTCTTAACCTTTTTCGACTTGAGGCACCCCTTGGAATATGCCGGCTCTTAGTTTCACTCGGTTTTTGGCTGCACAAAAATAATGCAGTAATTTTTCTGTTGCAGAGAACTCAGAAAGATCACAGCAGGGCAGAATGCGTTTAACACCGTGGATGCCAATTTGAAATCTCTGGATTTATCTTGCGAATCCTGGTTGCGCACCTAATGCTGCGTGGCACCCTTGCAAGGATCTCGAGGCACCCCAGGGTGCCACGGCACTTCTGTTGAGATTCACGGGATTAGGTAGTTTGATGAGACGTTTGTGGAGCCCAGGAATTTTTTTGCTCTGGAAAAAAATCACAGACTGGGGCTTGCTAATCAGTACGTTCTTATTGCATGACAGTAAAAGCACAGAGTTCGGTTTGGATAGTTTAATTTAGTTGCCTGTTTAAGTCTGAGATCCTTTGAGGGAAAGAACCATGTTATTCTGGGTGGGAAGAAAAGAAAATGATGATGATATTTTTTATTGACAGTGAAGCTTGCTTCCCTCATTATTATGCAAGGGCTTATAAACGCTTGATTTATCCTTTGTCCTTACAGGTTTTTCTCTACTGTATTAGCTTTTCATCAGCAAGTGGTAGCATGCCTTATGTAAATATTGACAGCCTCTCTAATGATCTCCAGCAATGTTTTTGGAAACCGGACGTACTAAACGCTCAGGCTTTATGGATGCACTGCCGCAGGGATGGAGAGAGAGAGAAAGAGGCAAAGAAGAGATGCTGCTCAATGAACTAGTGTTTGGAGACTTTGGGATGGGGTGACAAGACTTCGGTGGAGAATAGGTAGGGAATAATATATATCTATATACGGCAAAGTCTCAGGAGAATGACTAAAAATGGAGAGTACCCAAGACGTCTAGGGAACGTGGGATGAAGGATTTGGATGTAATGACTAATGAGGTTTTGGGAAGAGCTCTCTTAAAAAGACTTCGTAGCCCAACTACTGAGTTGCTTGGCTTGATTTCCAATAGGGCATTTCCTATGAAAGTGAAGAGTCTCTGAATTGGCTTGCATTGCCTAGCCACGCAAATGAATCTCAGCCTTTCAACTTGTCGGCTCCTTCCCCTGAGATTCCCTCCTTGTTTCTAATCGGATTTTGCACAGAGCTTTTTGTTTCAAGAGTAGTAGTAGAGGGACCACCAATAAAGTCTAGAACATAATCAAAATCTGAACGTAGATGTCTTTGCTATTGAATGCCTGTATTTAAGACAAGGTTCTTTGGGTGAATCTGATATCTTTTATTTAAGATGTACGTGTTGGTGGGGAGAGTTTGGTCTTTTGTGTTGTAGGAAAATGATGTCTGGCTGAAGAGCAGAGTTAGTTTTTTCTGAGGTAGGACGTACAAAACAGATGAGTAGTGCCTTTTCTGTGCCCTTATTTGCATTATTATGTGATCCAAAGAAGTCAGTGCATAGCATTTTAAGATGCTTAAAATTTTGCATGAGACGTAAGACATTTGTTGTGCTCCTTGTTGGACTTATGGAGAAATGCTGTTTGGTTTTGTTTTTTTGCCATAGGTAAGGTTGAAATGTGCTTTGTCCCTACAACAAATTTCTGCAGAACCAAACCAAACTATGATGGGACTGGCTTGAAAACCATAAGATTTCGAATGAACACATGTTGCGTCTTTCTTTTTTTCCTTCTGTGTTTTTTCCCCCCCCATTTAATACATTTGATGTATGTTTTCAATCTTCGCGGAGATTGTCACGTTAGCATGACTCCATGAAATGGGGCATTAAGGAAATACCCATCTTGCAGCGTAGGGCAAAATAGTGCGTTAACTAATAAATGTGCTCACAGTTTCCTAGTACCTTGAGGGTCAGGAGACAGCATATTTTGTTTTTTAAATATGTAGCCCGAAAGGTCACATACAAGGCAAATGGGTATGTAACACTCATTTGTTTGCTATTTATTGAAGATCTAACAAAAGGCATGAACAGCTTTTCTTCCCTGGTTCTGTTAGAAATTCAGGTCTTGTTTGTTCTTGAATTTTTTGGGAACCGTAGGGATTTTGAGATCACAAGAGAGGGCTAGCTGAGCGAGTGAGTCGGGGCGGAAGGCGTTATAGTCAGCCATTTGAAAACTGTTGTCTTTTGGTTATTTAACTTAAATGCCTAAGCAACAGTTAGGAGAAAAAACAGACTCTCATGAAAACTTCAACAGCTTTTCCCCCTTTCCTTGAATTGATGGGAGCTTGCAATGCAAAGTTAAGTCCACGGAAAAAAAATCTAGCAAAACCAAGAAAACAAGATTTGATGTTTCTGGTATTACTAAGCAGCAGGGGCGGGGAAAGCAGCTTCAAAGCAACCAACCCACCTTTCATTCTCTCCATGTGTTTAAAAAAAAAAGAAGAAAGAAGCAGCCATCAGAAACAAAACAGAAATTTATTTTAAATGATCCTTTGGGGATATCTTTAATTTTAAATTTCCAGGCTTTATACCGTTTGCGGTTTGCGGAGAAATTATTGTGCCCCCACGTGTAAATGATAGCGTAACGCACTTTACTTTTTAATGAGGCTTTTCTTAGCCTGGTGGATGATGCTGTTGACGCTTATTTTCCTTTTTAAAAAACAGTTGTTTCCAGCATTGCCTCGGTTACATGCCCTCCTAAACCAGACCCTTTAATAGCTTTCCTGTAGGGTGATTTGTTACCTCCAGATTCTCTTAAAACGGAGTTACCTGCTAAAGAGAGATGGCACAACTTTTAAATGAGGGTTTGTCTAGATGGCATGATCCAGTGCTACCTGAGCTAGCGCCAGATGCCCGGCCCATGCCCACCTCCATACCAGCATGGCAGTGCTGCTTTGCCAGTATCGCAGGATCCCCTGACAGTGGTGAACTGTGCTGAGCAGACACAGTCTGACACTAGAGGACAAGTTAGCCAATTATGATAATGAAGAACTTAAATCAAAATGTTGATGGCAATATAGAGAGATACCTGGCAATCTCCGTCAATAATTATTTATTGCAAATGGTTAATGTTTTATAAGATTGGCAGGACTACTCCCATCTCTGGTTCTCTGCGCCTCAATTTATCCTTCTAAAAGGAGCTCTTCTGGCTCATTAAGGATTGAAGGAAGCCTGGTTATTCCAGGCCTGATCCATTGACTTCAGAAGACTTTGCATGACGCCCTTAATGTTTATAAAGCAGCCTGCCATATGTAAGTGAAAGGAGTCATACAGATGAAGTTTATTATTGGCATTTCCTTGGACGCTTTGTTAAAGTGGACTTTTATCTTTCTATTTTTGTTTAATCTTCATTATGGTATCTTTGGCCTGACATATCTTTACATTTCCTAATATATCCTAGCACACTTGGGTGTTTGTAAGCAGTGGCATATGATAGCAATTACATTTTAACCTTTCAGAGACTGCATTGATAGTGCCCTGCATCTGGCTGAAGAGGACTTCAAAGAGCTAGAGCTTTTGATAATTTGTTTGTTCAGTTGGGCCGCTCTTGGTGAAACTGTGCTTACCTCTTCATCCACTTCCACTGCTTATCTGCTCGCATGAAGGAAGGGGCACCCCTGTTAGTAAGAAACACAAAGATCAATGGATTATTGTATTAAAACTTTAGTCATAGAGAAGCACCTCTCACAATTTATTTGTTACCCTGTGCAGCAGTTTAGGTACCCAGAATCATAGCAAGTTAGGGTTGGGAGGGACCTTGGGAGGTCATTTAATCCAACCCCCTGTGCAAAACATGCACAGTTTACAGTCATGCAAGTATTTGCTTTGAATTGCTGAATGTTGAACTTCTGGCTATCCTCTGAGGTACTGTTTTAATCAATGAATTGTTAATTCATATGGCAAATTCCATTAAAGATTCAAAGGCAAGATTTCTAAATGCATGAAAATCAATAAAACCTGGGCTTTCTAAACACTACATGTGACTGCAAAAAAAACAAACAACTCCTCACCTTTAATGGTCTGCCTACTCAGGCTTTTTCTGGCAAAAGTGTATCATGTACAATGTAGACTTAGAAAACAGCATTTTTAGAATTGTAATTTTTTTTTTTTTATGAATAGCTGTACAGAATGCAATGCACGTTGTGCGCTCCCTGGTTATTCCCTTGTGTTACAGTAGTAATCCTATGGCCGGATCAAGACCTCATGTTCTGCTCTGTTCTTTTGTTTTATTTTATTTGGGTTCTTGTATCACCATCTTCAATACTATCCGAGCATCATCCATTCAGCAGTGTGACTAAACATCACTTGTGTGGTTCATTCTTTCTATCATCACCTCCCCAGGGTTAAAACTGTATGTGCGATGCAGTGATTTGTTCCAGTGGGGTTAGGCTCTTTGTTTGCTCATTTGTTAATTTGCCCTTTTGTGAAACATATGTGCTGTGTTAGAAGACAAGTTCAAAGAAGAACATCCTGAATTTTGATTGGGAATGGTAGTCTTTATATTCTCTGGGAGTATGTTGGGCTGGTCTCCTGCACAGCGGAGATTTGGTAGATTGG